AATTTTAAGTTCAATGGATCCGTATGTTTTATTGTAAGGGTCCATTTTTAGGGCCTTAGAGACCCAGCGATATTTGTCACCGTGTGTGCGCAATTTTGAATCGTTCTTAAAATGAGCGCATAAGTGTCCTGGAGGTGTTACCTCCACCGAAGAGAGAGAGTGAGAGTGTGAATGAGTATAGTAGAGAGGCGAGAGAGAGTGAGAATGAGTGAGTGAGTAAAGAGAGAAAGAGAATGGGGGGAGGGGTAGAGGAGAGATTGTTTATGAGCATAAATTTGTTATGAGCATAAATTAATGTATTCATTTGATAGGACAGTGAGAACAGTTATACTATTTTCTGGTTATACAATAAGTGTTAGATTATCTCTAATCATGCTGTTACAAGTATTTGAGTGTATGTTTTATTTACAAAGAACCTTGTTATTGATTTCAGATGATGAATCACAATCACTGAGTCAAAATGAGTCTCAAGAGGGAGAATCACAGGTGTCATTTGATTGCAGTCAGCCTCTCTATCCCAGTCTGGTCAATTGTACAGAGAACCTTGATGCCATTATTTCGCAACTCACATCTCCTGGACTGTAAGTATCATGATGATTTCCCTTTTCATAAATAACTCGGAAATTCTTGTTTGCAAAATAGACCATTTAGATATTTTTCCCTTTCCTTTCCCTTTGAAAGGAAAGACATTGTAACCCCATATTGACAGTGTATTCTTGCCATAATGAGTCAAGTCCAAATACCAGTAGCCAAAGATATAGGTTATGCACACTCAGCTAAACAACTGTGGGATAAGTACATGTACTCCTTACTTCTAATTTTTTGCTCAGATGGCTGACTGTTCATGTTGCTTGGGTGCCAAGAAAAAAAACTAACCATTGTTCTGTCTTAGTTAATGTGATATTTGTGTTAATAGTTGGTCTCTGGTTCCGAAGTAAAATTAACTAGAATATTTGCTTTTATTTATATATTTATACCACATGGCCTAATGTAAATCAACATTCTTGCACTCAAGTAACTCATTGTATAACTAAAAGTTTTACTAATATGATGTTAAATCCCAACAGAATTGATGGACTGAAGAAAGTTTTAGAAGACCTAGGGGTAACAACAGTTGGGCAGTTTTGCCAGTTGACTGAAGCAGATGTCAACAAGCTGCCAGTACGAGCACCCAAAGTTTCTAGTACTTTAAAAGTCATCAAGAAATATGATGAAACAAAATCAAGGTAATTAAAGAAGTTTTGTATCATATTTGAAAGTAGGTTTGTTATTAGTGAAAATTTATTTCATTACATCTATATTGATTTTATTATAGCTGAGTTACTTGATACTGCTTTTGTCCCTGATTATTTAAGAAATATTTATTGTAAATTCGAATATGAAAATATGTACATTGAGTACTTGAAATTAATAGTTTATCCTAAAGTTTACATACTGTATCAGTTTTGATAAGCACCATCCTGAAAGAAATTCTAAAACAATTTTGCAATTATAGAAAGTAAAAACTTTTTATGTGAGATTCAAGAAGAATCAGAAAGCAGTTACATATATTTATGTAATTAAGTTTGTTTCTAGACTGCTTTCAAGAAGTAACCAGAATTTGTATTTTCTAATAATCTTCTGAATTTTCTGTATTTCTTGAAGGGAGAGTAAAAAGAGTACAGAGCCTAACATGGATGAAGTGGAAGCCCAGCTGAGTCAGATATTTGCAGAAGATGATCGAGAAGATAAGGAGAACCAACGCCCTAATAACCAAGCAAAGGTTAAGAAAAGTATAGACGAAGTATCTGCTGTACTCATGGATGATGTTATTGAGGATAGCTTAGAGAATATGGAGCCAGAGGAGGACAATCAGATTGATGCCGACTGTAGCAATGACTTGCCCCCAAGATTAGGTGACGAAGATTTGGAAGTCGATGATGATGTAATGCCCCTTGATCCGTCTCCTGACAGTAAGTTTAGTTTATTGGTTTAGTAATGATACATTTTTCACTTGCAAGATTGTTGTTTGAAATTGGGTAAAGGGAAACAAATATTTGTGCTGTTTTATACTTGATTAGGTTGTAACAAACAGATAATGTTACTAAGGAATGAAAAAACTTATATGAGATGACTAGATAGTAGTTCACAGAACTACAATAAAATACAAAATAATTCCTGTAATTCTCTTTTTCATTCTTTTTTATCTACAGATGCAGGTGAAGTATCTGAACCAGTGAGTGCTGTTTGCAGGCATATCACAGAAAATCCATCAGCAATTGAAGATTTAGCAGAAAGATTAGACTTAGAAGCCAAGAAGACTCTCTTCAGTAGTTTACTAAACAAACTGAGATATCCATTTGTTATTGGCTGTTATTATGAGTATTTGAAAAACAGAGAAAGTGACACTAACACCTGAACTTTGTTAACTTTCTCCTATTTTGAGAAAATGTACATCAGTAGTCCATATTTTTATATACTGTAATAGTTTAAACATGTTGATCACAGTTGGGTCTCCAAT